CTTTCTATTCTGTTGTTCATTGTAACGCTCACTTGCTCATTTTGTTTAATATTTCCAATTTGTATTGTTTTTTTCTGTTTTTAATATTTGTTGCATTTCTCATTTGCTCCATTTCTCTTATATTCTACATATTTGTTTATTTTCTACTTCTCACTGTTCACTAAAAGTGAACCATTTTAAGGGTTCGTGAAAACAGAACAGTGAACAGTGAGGATCAATGAATAAAGAGTGAACAATTGAACAATCAAAAAAAAACAGTGAGCAATTTAGTTTAATTTTTTTAAATGAAGTGAATGTGTTTACTTGGGTGAGTTACTACAAAATTAGAACTTTAATATAGCTACGAAGCCCGCACTAACTTATCTTACATATTTAATTAAAATGAATTGAAAATGTTAAATAATTTTAATTACACAAAACAAAAAACCCTTTAAATTTAAAAGTAATAAATAATAACAATAGTTTCTTCAGTTACCTTTAATGTGATATCTCCTGCTCCTACCTGCTCATTAGTTGCTCTGATATCGTTCCAGTGAATGGGTTACATCAGCTCCCACAACAAACGCAATAGAAACCGAACAGATAATAAATCATAAGCATTAAGCGTTTTCAATTACCCAATTTACCAATCGCGAATCGCAAAGCTGGGCACGTTCCCGCCGCAATTTCAGCGGACTTTTTATAGCAACAACTAATACTTAAATGCTATTTATCAGCTGTGAGGCGGCGGTGGCCTTGGGGGGTGTGGGGGAGATGGGTTGTGGTTGGGGAGGGGGCGGGCGGTGCGGCACATGCCAAACGGGTGGCCGGATGGAGCGAGACAAGGCGAGACTTGGCTCTGGCAAGCTTTCAAAGCAAAACAAAGCTGATAAGTCTGTTTTTGCAAACGACAGCGAAAAGTCAAACGGCGTCTGCTCAGCCAGCTCCTTACCTCCCTCCACCCTCTCCCCACCCATCATCTCGCACCCCATTTTCCCGCCTCGCTTTCCCCCGCAGCCCCCTTACACCCTACAGCTGGCGGGGGTGCGCAGTAAAGTGCGACATTTTGCTGCTGATTAAGTAGCGTTCGTTTTTAATAAAAGTACGACAAGCAAATAAAACAACAAGTTGTTCGGCTAGAGATGGGTGCGTGACACGCGGGAGTGAGGTCGTGAGTGTTGCAAAAAATAAAAAGAGAGAGTTTAGGCATTTGGTTTATTTATAAGTAATTATAAAATAAATTATAAAAAGTGTTTTTGTTTTAAGTGCTTTAAGGAATATCTACTTTAAAAGATTTTAATAACTTTGATATTTTTGCAGATGCTATAATAATGAAAAAAACAGACTCTTCGTTCAAAGTCCCTTAAAAAATATCTACTGTAGTTGAATTGAAAATAATCAAATTTAGTGACCGCTAGTTCGAATTTAACATTGTAAATTAACATGATTTTACAACTTAGCTCTCAAAAAACTTGAATTTATTTTATATAAAACCTAATTCCTGTAAGAAATTCAAATTAAATCATATAAAAGTATTTCTAAGCTATTAAAGATACATCTCCTTATCCAATAAGCTAACTCCCATCTCTAAGCCAAAAACACGACTATCGTAGCCAGTGCAGTCTATATATGACCATAAAACAGAACTCCTAGCTACCGAAAGCTGCCGCTCAGGCTGAAGCTTCCTTCGCTTCGTCTTCGTCCTTGTGCACGTCCTCGTGCCTAGCTTGGCTTCAACGACAATCGCCCTTGCAGAAGGTTACGCCACCCGTCCGCATGGAAAATGAATGGATGAATGAATGGGTGGGATGAATGTTGGGTGGTTGGGTGGGTGTTTTGTTGGGTGGCGCACTGGCACGTGCCCTGCTATGTGGAAGCGACTGTGGCAAGGCTCTGCGGCTTTATGGGGGAGAGACAAGTTGCCACACGGTAAGAAAATTGGATTTTACTAAGGGATAAATGTTCACATAATAAATGGAATTACAACAAATAAGATATTAGAAAACGTAAACTTTATGGGTATGTAAAAATATTGAAGCTGATAAAAATTAATGAGTAATATTTAAGTATTTAATCCAGTATTCATTAACGATAATGAAGCATATATTTTCCAGTTTTTCTAAACGATATTTTATATGTTTTATAGATTTATAAATAAAAGTATTCATTTTTATCCCCCAAATTTAATTAATTTTTAAAAAAGGATAAAGTTGAGTATTCTATTACCAATGGTATTCGTCACTTAAATAAATGAACATAATCCTTGTAAATAAGAGAAGTAGCTTAAGGAATTTAAAATTGTTTAAATACTTTTTAAATTTATTTTTTGTAAAATATAACATTATTTGCTTAACAATATACATATATCAGAAGTTGAAGAACTATAAGGTGCATTTGACACTTTTATCTTACCTGATAAAGAAATGTTTTTGTTTCCTTAGAACTCTTCTAAACTACTCTTAATTAATGTAATCTTAATGTTGAAAACTTAATGAATTTAGTAGAATTCAAAAAGGGCCAACACTTCAATTATAATGCGACATCTTTCTTAATAAAGAATCCAAATGTAATTAATGGATCACCAAGGTTGCCTGTCAAATCAATCATTATCCTTTGTGAGGTCTAAATTATAAACAAATTTATAAAACCACTTACACCCATTTGAGTTCTCAGTGCAGACGTCATCAGGAGCGGCAACAAAGGCTCTGGTTTTAGCGTGCCGCCATATGTTTCCGGCAAGTGCTCGCCCACCGCCCCACACACCCACTCACTCGGATACTTGTGGCACGGGCCATGAAAAGCGTTGAAATCCGCAATGCCAACAAGTACAACTCCGGGGCCAAAAGCGGGGTTGCAAGACAATCGGTGATTTGTGGGCACCAGAGCAGAAGAGTGGAAGGATGGGTCTGAGGATGGTAACTCGAGCCGACTTCCTTTGGGATGGGTTATGGGTTATGGGGCTGGGACTGGGACTGGGACTGGAACTGGGACGGGACTGGGACTGGTGTGACACCTTCTGTCGACGCCGACGATGAGGACGCGTTCTGATTTATCCCACACAGGGCCATAAAAACAAAAAGCCACAAGACACTCGCATAAGTTATACAGGGTGTTTCTTCCATTCCATTTTTCATGTTTTTATTGTTTGTCGAAAATCAGCTAATTTAACTTAGTGTGTGTGTGTGGTGTGTGTTTGTGTTTTGGATTACATTTCGAGGGTTGTTGTGTTTGTTGTCTAACAATATTACATACAAGACGTGCATACAATCAGATTTCTAAACATATAATATGCTTTAGTTTTATATTTAAGTATTTAATAGGTTTTTTTTAAGTTTTAGTTAAGGTTTCCGAACAATACAATATCTCGAGCGATCTTTACAACTAGAAATATATTTATATATTATATATAGATAATAGGAATAAATAAATATACAACAATCAGGAGAGTCGAGCCGAAAAATAATGAGGTTTATAGCTGGGTCTCTGGGTCTCTTGGTCTAGGCTCTTCAATTTGTTAGATTGCCTGGAAATTATGTTAATTTGTAGCACGATCACAGGGGATGCCACAAATTCAGGGGGTTGCAATCGTTTATAGACACCGACTTGGGGTGGATTTACCTTCAGACCCATGCCAAGGACACAGCTATAATATCCCTCGAAAACTCATACAATTTAGTGGTTTTACACGTTCTCCCCTTTATATAAAAATCTTTACAATCTTTGCTTAAAAAATATGTACAATATAAATAACAAAAACAAAAAATATATGTATATATAGAGACAATATATAATTTATATGTAAATGTACGAAGAACCTAAAGCCTTGGCTACGAATATCGTAATTATATAGGAGAGAGGAGTATATCATCAATAATATGTCCATATGTGTGCCGTATTATAAGTATTTCTTTTGGTCGAAGCTCTAAAAAAATTAAAATGTATCTTGTGCGGGGTGCTTGTTAAATCAGTTTTCTGTTTTTGCTTTTCATTTTTTTCTGTTATCTGCTTCTGTTTTTTTTTTTTTTTTTTTTTTGTTGCCCTTCTTGTTGAGGCTTCGATTTGAAATTTATGTACAAAGTTCGTGCTGCAATTAAACGTAACTCGCTTAAACAACTAATACGACAAAAAGTATCTACAAGATATATATTTATATATGTGCTGCCAGTTACTGTGTGTGTATATTATTCAGTTTTTGTTATGGTTTTTGTTTGTTTTATTTTTCATTTCATTTTTCGCCTTGCCGAGTATTGTTTTGTATCTTTATGCTTGACACGCTCGCTCAAAACGGCGCAAAATCGTTAAAATTTTATCGCCCCGCTGAAGAACGTGAGTGTGTGTCTGTTTGTGTGTATCGAGTGTGTGTGGGTTGCCCACGAAACACCGAGTTCCAAACCCAATCCTATCCTAACCAACCGAGAGAGTACCGCCACGCCGCCACCACCGAATTTTCACACTTCTTTGACGGGGGTTTTTCCGGACCGAGCGTCTAAGTAATCAAATATTCCTGATGCGATTTCGCTTTTCCTATCAGTTTGTTGTTTTTTGGTTTTTAAAAAAGTGGTTTTACTATCGCTCACGCTTGACTTGAAAATAATTTTTTGCTACGTTTTGGTTTTCTTTTTTGTATTTCTAATTGGACTTTCCCCAAATAAAAATAAAAACACACAAAGATCACTGGTGTCTATCAAAAGTCCGTGTGCTTATGTGACCTTATCGCGGTTTTAACACACACATTTTTCTTTCTGTTGATATATTTTTTATAATTAATTTGTTGTTGCTGCTTTTGCCAGTTTCTGCTTTTGACGCCACAACAAAAAAATAAAAAGCAAGCGACTGCTTTTGATTATTAATTCCGCCGCCCCGCCGCGCGTCTCTCTCGATTATTTTTTGTTGTATTTATTTCATGAATTTTGTTTGGCTGGCACTTTTTAACGTTGCTTGTTTTATTTATTTATTTATTTATTTAGACGCGTACTAATTCGATTGCAAATATTTGCACATGCAAAAATTTTGTTCTTGTTGTTGAAGTTGTTGTTGTTTCCCTAGAGCTGTTGTTGTATACTTGTATCAATTGTAGATATTGCTTGTCTATATGAGGCTATTTCGGGTTAGTTCTAAGGCTTATTTTCTTGTTTACTGATTACTTAAATTGCACTTTTTTCTTCGGGAGCGAGGTTGGAAACACTTCTTGCTTAGCTGCTGCTGCTGCTGCTTTTTCTACAGGTGCACTGCACCGCATCACCTCAATTGCCGTTGTTGTTGTCCGTGTTTTGTAGATTCTCCAGCGGCGCCACAAGATACATTTGCGTTCCGCACAGCCAAAGAAATGCTGCGAAAAGATACACAGAAAGAAGTTTGGATTATGAGGGGTTCATTTTAGATCTTTTAGGAATATTATTAGGATGCATTTAGATTACATTAGTATACTTGACAAAGTAAATGGGATAATGCATTAGGGAATGATTAAAGTAATAAATAGTATTCTAAAAAAAAACAAAGAAACAACTTAGAGAGATCAAGAGAAGTTCTCGAGAAGAAAATGATGCTTAAGTTTGCTATAATACAGATTAAAGTTAAAACTTAACATTTAAATCCTCCCAGCCTGTTAGTTTTATCTGTCTAATTATATAAACCCTGTTCAAGAAATGAACACTCACAGGAAATGAATTCTTTCAGAATGTGATCTATTTTCAGCCAATGAACTCTTTCTATGTGAGTAAATGGACCCTCTCAGCAAGTGAACATTCTTAGAAAACAAATTCTTTTAAAAAGCCGGTTAACTCTCTATGTTTCAGCAAATTAACTCTGATAAAGGAGCCTTGAATCACATTTGTCCGTGTGTTGGGTTAAAGTTTGTCAAATCCAGAAAATAAATGGAATTTAAAATCAGTGTTAGTTTTCAACAAACACTGAGAAGGTAGTAGAACTAGTAAAACAGAGGGAAACTCCGATACATTAAATAACATATAAAAAAAGGTGTCTATATGTAAGTTTCATACAGTAATAAAATATATTATAGAATGCATATATTAAAACTAAACCCCGATTTTTTGTGCTGTGTACAAGAATGAATGAAAATGTTATTCCGCGCCTTTCTATGGGTGAAAATACAAAATGATGTAATGACTCTCTACTCGGTCCGATGTTCATTAAAAGGCCAACCAAAACAGAAAAAAAAAAGCCACGAAACGGACGGAACAAAATACAAAAAAAAAAATAAGAGAAACAAAAACACAGCGAAAAAGTCAAAAGCAAGTGTAGAATGTAGTTGTTGTTTCTGTTGTTTGCTGCCGCTGCTGCTGCTGCTGCCTATAACGGCGAAAATAAAGGCAAAGCGTCGTATGAATGACCGACCACGACCGCTGCCGAGTCAAGTGACGAACGCCCGAGCGCCGAGCGTCGAGTGACGAGCATCGGGTCTGACGAAGAGCAACAGGGAGGGATATAGTGGGAGAGAGCGAGAGCGGGCAAGTGAGTACGTTGAGGAAGATACATTATTTCTGGTATAATGACTACTTGAGAAAAGCCAAAAAGTCGGGGGAAAATGTGTAAGGGAAATAACAACAAAAAACAGAAAGAAGAAAAACAGAAAGAAAACTAAAAACGGGGCAAGAAAACGCAAAACACGAAATGTAATTTGTATAATTTGAGTCTCAATCCCATCAAGTGTGGGAAATGCGCCAAAAAGAAAAATTATACGTATAAACAACTCATAAGGGAAGTGGGTAAAAAAAGAACTGGTAATGTGAACTGAGCCAAGTTTAATAGTTAGAAGAGGTCACTAAAGTTGGCTATAAAAAAAAAGTTTGTTCCCAATGTGACTTGAACTCTTCTGGCAAATGAACTCGTTCTAGTAAATGAATTGTATTGGAAAACGATTTAATTCAGAAAATGAATTGGCTTAGAAATCGAATTTCCTCAGCAAATGATCTCGTCTTACAAAACGTTAATAAATAAATTGTTTAGAAAATGAATATACTTTATTAGAAAATAAACTTTTCCAGTTATTAACCTCTTTTAGAAATTGAATAAACCCACTACGTTTTCAATCATCAAATGAACTCTGATGAAGAGTCACTTACGAACATATTTAAGGTTGAAGAGATCGAGAAAGTTTACTATAATAAAGTAGAAATATTAATCTACATATGTGTCATGAACTATTCCGTCAAATAAACTCTTTGAAGCAATTATACTTTTTCCAGCAAATGACATATTTCCAGTAAATGAACTCTTTCTAAAAATGAACTCCTTCTAGCAATTAAACACTCTTAGCCCAAGCTTTTCTCATTTTAACAAAAGGGTTTTTAGTCGTATAGATATACGGAAAATACCTTTCAGATACTATTTATGTTACTATTTATATCCTAAAATACTTTATATTCATTTTATAAAATTTATATATGTATATTTCTTAAAACCTCAATATTTATGAATAATTAGTTATGCTAATAGTTACATTTTGTACAGCAAAAAATAAACTAAAATTATGTTGACACTCACCTTGTGACTAAGCGGAACTTGCCACCGGTGCCAAGGTGTCGGTGGCGGCGATTTGTACGGGCGGCTTGGACAGTGATTCCGGGAGCAGGGTGCTGGCCGCCGACACTGTAATGGCCGTCTCCTTGGGCTCCTTGGCTACTGCTGGTGCTGGTGCTGGTGCTGGTGGTGCTACCGCTGCTGCCACTGCCGCTGTCGTTGTGGTCTTGGCCAACTCCGGCGACTTGGCCGCCTCGTGGCAGCTTGGAACTGGTGGCGCCTCCTCCGCCAGAGCAGCTGCCTTGGCCTCAGCCCGAATATTCAAATTGGCAGCCACTTGATCGATGGTTGTGGGCTTCTTGGTCAAAGCCCGTGGCGAGGTGGCTGCACTGCCTCCACCGGAGGTGTTGCTACTGCTGCTGCTGCTGCTGCTGCTAGTGGGACTGAGCAAACCCGTTGACATCTTGGGTTTTGCCTCCTCGGCGCGCACAGTCAAGGGTTTGCTGATGGTCGCCGATGTTGTGGCTGCCGGAGTGGTGGCCACCACTGGCTGATTTCGGAAAGCCAATGCCGAGGGATTGGGTATACTTCTAACGGAGGCATTCTGTGGCCTAACCACTGCATTGGCATTCTTGGGTTTCCCCTCAAAAATGCTGCTGTTGTTGTTGTTATTGTTGTTGTTGTTGTTACTACTATTGTTATTATTGTTGTTGTTGTTATTGTTGTTGTTGCCTGCCTTGGCTATCGAAATCTTCTCGCGGGCTGTTGCTGATTCCGAGAGCATATGCAGATTCTGGAGATCATCGCCTGTTCCATTGCTGCTGCTGCTTGAGGAGGAGGTAGTGGTTGCTCCTCCTGCTCCTGCGCCTGCTCCTGCTCCTGCGCCTGCTCCTCCTCCACCTCCATTGCTGTTGGCGGATATGTTTTGCTTGATCTTGTTGAGGGCTGCCTCTAGGCTGTTGCTACTATTGACCGTTGCTGCCTCAGGCCTGGGCGATGTGGGCGCCTTGCTGCTGCTGTTCCTGCCCGGGTTCGCTGATAAATCAAGTATGTCGGCATCCTTGGGTGCTCCCAATGCTGGCCGAAACTCACGCAAACTCGTTTTCGAACTCTTGTCCAAGCCATTGGCTTTGGCTGGAGCCACGGCTGGCGGGGATTTCTTTGAATTGGCCTGCTCCGGCTTGCTGCTGCTGCTGCTGCTGCTGCTCGACTTTGATGGAAACGACGAGGTTGGAGCGGTGTTGCGCAGATTTATTAATGCAGGCGGCGATGTGCGATAAGCCGCATTGTTGCTGTTCTTGCCGGGATTCGAGGTGGAGTGGGAGTTACTACTCCTTTGCCCGCTAAGCGCAACTGACAGCGGCGGTGACTTGACAATCGTTGGTATCGTGGTCATTGGCAATGGCAGCGGCAAAGGCAGCGGCAACGGCAACGGCATCGGCATTGGCATTGGCGGCGACTGGCTGCTCCTCTTGGCCGCCCCACTGCTGTGTCCCTGTTGCTTGGGCAGAGCCGTTGGTGGTCCCATCAGCGGTGGCATTGTCGTCATCTTCTGGCCCTGCTGCTGCTGCTTGCTGGATGGCAATCGAACTATTTCCAATGCGGGCACATGGCTCATACTGTTGGCCTCGGGAAAGGCATAGCTCCCAGTCGCCGTGGTTGTCCTTGGCCTGGCCGTAATGGTCACCGAGTTGCCGCTGCTCAGCGTTGTGCTGGGCAGGCTGAGACTCAGACTGGCTGGACACAGCAGCGGCATCGAAGCTGGCTTACCCACCATCTCGGGTCCATATAAGCGCTGCGGGTTGGGCAGATACGAGGCCGCTGGTGTCTTGCCGAGTCCCTGCTGCATCTGGAACTTGGCCGCATAGCTGGACATGGCCATGGCCTGGGCCTGGTTGTGATTCAAGCGTGCCTGCTTGGCCGGATGGGATTCGTCCAGGGAGAGCGACCTCTTCGGCTGCTTGTTGGCCGCACTGGCAATGGAACTCGGCGTGGATAGGTAGCGTTGCATGTGATATTGATTACGGTTATTACTAGGAGCTTGTGGCACCACAAAGTGTCCACTTCCCGGCTTCCGGTTGTTGTTGCTACTCGGTGGTGGCTTGGACAAGCTCTTGTTGGGCATAGACTGGGGCTGGACAGGCTGAGGAATCGTGGTGGTCTTTGGCTTCACCTGACCCGCTGTCGTGGGAGCAGAAGCTGGGGGAGAAGGAACTGCTGCCGCTGTAGTCGTCGTCGTCGTCGTGGGCGTGAAAGCCTTAAACAAGCTGGGCGGCAAGGGCGGCGATGTGGGCAGAGCCAGCTCCTTGGGTCTGGTTGCCAGTGCTTCCGGTTCCGCTGTGGGCGTAGGCGGTGGTGTGGGTGCTCCACCCGTTACCAGGCTGCTGATGCTGCGTGCCTCCTCCCCCAAAGTGCGATTTAGCAGTACCTCCGATGTGGTGGTGGTGGCCATTAGCTTCTCGTCCAGCTTCAGCTGTTGAAGAGCCAACTCACTGGCACTGGCCAGCGAATGGGAACGCTTTAGGTCCACCTTGTGCTTGGTGGTGATCTTCACCTTCATCTTGCCATCCGTCTGCGAGGAGATCTCTGCATGCAGCTTCTTCCGCTTACCGTTGGCATCCTTCGGCTCCTTGGAGTGCTTCTTCTTGCGCTTCCGATGCGAACTGGAGGCGCTAGTGGAGGTGCTGGCATCCGCTGTCCCTAGACTACAGCTGGAGCCGTTCGTGGAACTGGAGCAGGAGGACATGGGCGAGGCATTGGGACTGTATTTGCTATCGGAAACCTGCACGGACGCGGGCTGATCAATGGGCTTTAGACCTATGTTCTTGGCATATGTCTCCAGATCCAGCTGTTGACTGGCTGCCGAGGAGGAGGAGCAGGAGGTATCCTCCAAACGAGGACCCGCTGACATGGGCATGCTCAGCTTGCTCCTCATGCTCGTCAGCTCAATCTTGAGCTTGGGCAAGTGGCCACCAGCTGCTCCCTTTCGGTTGGCCGTCTTCAACTCGAAATCCTCAGCATCCACATAGGATTTGCCCAGCTGCGAGGGTGGAATGCTAACCACTATATTCGTGTTGGCCTCCAGTGGCTGCTCCCTTGTGGGGTTATGATGATCCTGCTCCTGTCCCGGCTCACTCTTCACCTTGGACACGGCATAATCGCTGTAGCGCATGTCATTACTCCGCAGACTCTTGAAGCTGCTCACCGGCTCTGGCTCCAGCTCCCGCTTGGCCAACGATGTGGTCACTGAGGTGGCAGCCAAGCGTTTGTTCTTCGCCGGCGGCGATACCTTTGGTGAGGTCTTGCTCCTTGCTCCGGTCTTGGAACGAATTTCCGACTCGAGATCCTCGGCAAAAGTCACCGATTTAGCCGCCTTGGAGCGACTCCTGGCGACTGTCTGCTCCGATTGCTCCGGTTCAATGTCCTGGTTAATCCTGGATAGATTATTCTCATCGTTTTTTGTCCGCTCGCTCTCATGGAGCAGAATCCGGTAGCAGAAGGCCATCGGCGATTGCTAAATGGGTTTCCCAGAGATTGAGGGGAGAAATGCGAAATAGAAAAAAGAGGGCAGGTTGATGACAAGGGTGGAAAGTGGTAGCTAAATATCCGAAACAATTGGATTGGGTTTTCCCCCCAGCACGGACACCCAAAAACCTTTATCGAGTAATTGGGATAGACCGCAAAAAGGGACAATAGACCACCGCACAGAGGACAGAAAAGGGCGTGTATCCTAAAATATTTGCACATTCTAAACAAGACCTACCTTAAAATGCTTAAATCAGGTCTGAATCTCGTTTCAACCCTGTGTTTTCCCCTGGCTATTTTCTCAAAATGTATCGTAACAACTATCAAGTGTTGTGGGTTAACCAAGAAACGATTTAAAATGTGGCAAGGCAACTAAATAAAGTCTTGAGTGTGAATTCTAATGGAAATCTTGTGAGAGGGTAGCATTTTTGGTTCATTTAACATTAGAACTAATGTTTAAGGTATGTAATCTTGGAGAAAGTAGTTGATCTAGACTTTGATTCTTCTTGTTTAATGTTTAAGTTATCAATAGTTATTGCATTTTTCAGGTTTTCCTTTATACCTCTCAAACTAGAATAAGAACTAGAAAATGAATTAAAGTCTGAAAACATTAATATAAATGCCTAAAACGCTGCTGGAACCCTATGATTATTGTTTTTAACAACTCCAGAATAATTTTCTTACAGAAACTCTTATCAAGTTAAATTCTACTATAAAAATATCAATTATTTTGTAAATATTTATACCTTTTATATTAACTTGAATGCCTATTAACATTAACATAGAACCATATACTGGCTACTTTAAGGTAACAGCCCCTCTTTGCCTCTGTGCCAGCAACCGAATATTAAAGGTAATAAAAAACCCAACTCACCCGACTCCAATTATAGCAATATCCCACATCCATTAGCGTGAAATGAGGGGGCAGCACCTCGTCCTCGTAGGTGACCTCCACCTCAACCAGCTTATTCTCCGCCTCAATGTTGTACTTGGAGCAGAGGAATCTCTTTAGTAGCTCCACACGCAGCCCAGCGGGGCATTGCAGGTAAATAATGGGTGGCACCTCGCCGGGACCACACTGGTCCAACATGGCGGGATGGTATTCCAGGGATAAGCTATGGGAAAATAAGGAAAATAACCGGAAAAGAGGAGTGGTTAGTTAAAGAGTTATAACCTGAATTTTATAAATTTTCCTATTGGTTCTTAAGATCCTTGCAACTCACCTCACAAGCTCCGTGGCGGTGAAAAACTCCTGTTCACGTGGCGCTGGATTTTCATCAACCAGATCCTCGTGCTGTTTCTCAAACTCCTCCAGCTCCTTGCACTCCCTTTGGTAGAGACCTGGCACCAGCTTAAAGATCAGCGATCTCAGAGTGTCATCCGATCTGAGGTTGGTTTCACTGATCTCCTTGCCTCCGCTGGCCTTGCAATCCGGACAGTAAACCATGCGGAGCAGGTGCTTCAGTATGCAACTGCGGCAATCTACAAATCAAGGTGAGAGATATTTGTTGGAAATTGGTTAAGTTGGTGTTGCCTTTCAAGCTGTTAAAAGTAATTAAAACTAATTATTAACAAATTATTTGAAAACGATTTTTAATTGTTTAATTGGGATTGTTTAGAGCTTATAATAAATAAGACAAAAATATAATGTTTCTCTAAAAATATAACAATAGAAAAACAATAAAAACTTTGTTGATACTCTTTTTCTGAGCGAGGTTAAAAGATTCCATAAAGATCTCTTCACTTATAAACAAATACCCTTTAATAAAAAGATGCTTAACAATCATGGAACACTTAAATTGTCAGATGAGAACAAAAATTGCACTCTCTCTCTCTCACTGAGAGTGCGTAGGGGTCTACAAATGGAATGAGGTTCAATGTTTGAGTGGGTATGAAGGCGAACAGATCTAGACTGCAATATAGTATTAGCTTACAAGACAGTGATTGGCCCTAGCTTTTCTACAACATTTCAGGACAGGACAGACAGTACAACAAGTTCAAAACTAAAAAAGTCATATAGCGTAAATTGGTCTTCTTATATTGATTGGTCTTTAAAAAAAACCCCACATATTATCATATGTTTAAGCAAAAAAATTAAACTTTTCACTGGATTAAGTATATGAAATATTAAATATCTTAAACAAATTTAAAAATAGGCAAACAATTCTAACTCATCTTATTCTTTGGTCTTTAAAAGAAATCTCCAATGTAACCACTTGTTTTAGCAAGATAAATATTACTGTTTTACTGGATTATATATAAAAATAATTCTTGAACAAATTTCAAGAGAGACGAAAATTTCGAGAACCAAATAATCTTATGGCGTTACTTATCTTGTACTAGTATTGGTCTTTGTTGGGGTAATAACCCCAACTACTCTATGTAATTACTTGCTTAATCTTGAATTATATAACTTATTCCTGCATTATATCTACACATAGCTAGAAAATGTTAAAATCTTGCAAAAATCGGTACTTACATGTGTGATAGCAAGTATCCACTGTGGTTGGATCGATCATATAGCCCCGGCAAATGCCGCAGGTGATCAGATCATGGAACTGCCGGATATCCCGGGAAGCAAATGATGCTCCTTTATCCATGGCGATTTCGTGATGCTTCTTATCCATCAATTTGTGCGTTGTTTGCAGGTGCATTCCACTCCGTTAACACCTATATCCTTACTATAAATATAAGCCTCTTTAGGGGATCCTGTAAGAAGAAACCAAGAAGAGAAATGATTAGAGGCAATTACCATTTATGTCATAAATGGTAGACAACCATTTATAATGATGGCTGATCAACTGTGGAGGATATGGAAGAATCCCCCGACAGAGAGTGGAAATAAAGACATTCAACATAGTGTGGGAAAACGACAACTGACGGACTGAGGGACTGAGGGACTGACGGACTGAGGGACAGAATGACTGACTGACAGTGCAGCAATCCCAGTCACATCATCGTTGTCGACATCGTTTGTGGTTGTCGCTCGTCAACGCAAAAAAAAAAGCCACAAAGCAGCAGCAGATACATCAACGTTGTATCTCTGTATCTGTGGCCGAGTATCTTGTCCCAAAAGATATGGCAGCAGCGGCAGACGCGGTGTATAGAAAACTGCAGACTAGTAAGGCAGCCATCCATATCCGTGAATCGGAACAATGCTGCAGGCACACACAAAAATATGAAAAAAGGCAGAAACACAAAAGTGGCAAACTTTGTGTGTGCGAGGGGGCACTACAAAGGGGGCATTACGAGGGGCTATTATAGAGCACGAAACGCCCTTCGTGCCGCAAGAGGGCACCTCTAACCGTACGAAGAGCAGCCGAGAAAAGCCGAGGAAAGCCGAGAGAAAAACCCCAAAGCGAAAAGCTATGTGATGTGTACTTGAAGCTAGTTTTAGCTTAGTGTTTCCCCCCTCCCAAGTACCCCCTTCTTTTTTTGGGGTTGCCTGGCAAACAAACGAATAAAACTACGAAAATTACGCTTTTGTGGAAACTGAATTTCCATCATTATGGCGATGATGCCCTGACGATGATTACGCTATGACGATGATGATTATGATGATGATGATGATGATGATGATGATGATGATGATGGTGGTGGTGGTACTGAGCTGAGAGTTCAGGGCAAAGTTCAGGGCATTGTGGATCAGCCAGCAGCAGCAGCAGCAGGTTGCCGTTGATGGGAGGGAATAAACTGGGTGGGATTGTTCGGGAAACTTTTAGAGAAACTTTAGGAAATGTGCATTTTAAAAGGTTTATGAAATATGTGTATATTCTCCTGGTGTATTTTCTTTTATTTATAACATTTGATTATTAGGTTATTTAACCCTTTAGATTAAGTATCATATTAATTAAATATTTTTTTTAATATATTAAGCCTTTATACTGATTATAGCGAATTAGACACTATTGTAATGAGTTCTTCTTTCTTGCAACAAATAAGATTTTAATGAGCTTCTTTTTTATGTTTGTGAAAGATTTTGAATATCTCAAACAACATTTATTTACATTTTGTTGTGTTATATTGCCTCATTTTCGATATTACCTTAACAAAATTAAAGATTTCTAAAGCTGATATGATACACTTTTGGTATCCTTCAAACTTTTGCTTGTATTCCTAAAAAATATTTTTAGAAATTTATGAAAAACCATTGCAAATGTTTACATTTTATCCCATTTAATATATTAGTTTAAAGATCAAACTATTTTATGGTTTTAGGATCATGTTTCAGCCTCTTTTAGGGTATAACATCGTATTCAGGGTGTTTAATTACAAAAGATTAAAATCTTTCAAGAAATAAGAAAGTATTTATTTATTAAAAAACAAAAGTTCTGTTGTTTAATTTTAAATAGAAGTAACCCCTCCAACGGATAATAAAGATTAGGAAACTTAGAACATCAAAGTATCGATGAAATTTTGAATATTATATAAATTAACAACTAATGCATGGTTTTTTATAACATTTTGGAAAAATTTTTGTTCTATTTTTTTTCGAAATATAACCTATTACTTACAAATAAACCCCAAAAATTTAAAACAATTTTATGTTTTTCAATGTTTGAGTAAATTAAAAAATATAAAAATCATACTAGGTAAATTTAAAACTTGTGTTTTAAAAATGCAATTTTACTTAAAACTTCTAGATTTTGTTTACCTTGTATGTATGTGCCCCCAAAGTAGAACCCCCTAAACAATTTCTAATTCTCGACCTGCAAATCACCCGCCTTCCGCCTTCCAAGTATCTAAATCCCCTACACCCCTTCGCAACCACCCACCGCATAGCGCAACCAAAAGTCGCATCACTTTGCCCATTTTTGTTTCTTCCTTTGCCATTTACTTTTTTCTTTGCTCGCTTGCCGCTCACGCGAATCTGGCACAAAAGAGTCGAAAAGGGGGAGAAGAGCAGCAGCAGCAGCAGGCAACAGCACAGGCGGAGGAGGCTGTGCTAGCAAAACAAAAAAGCAAACAAAACAAAAACAAAAACAAAGGGCCGCGCGGCAACTTGAACTGAAACTAAGCCAAAACGAAGAAGGGAAAAACAGGGCATCAAAAGGAAAGAAGAAGCTTTATGGTGTGTGTGTGTGCGTGCACACGCCCACTCAGCTGGAAAATGCCACCCAGCATTTTGGTGACGTCGAAACTGATGACGTTCTTGATTTTTTTCTTCTTATTGTGCTTTCTGTTTATACGCCGCAATTTCGTAAAAGGCGCGCACTCACACACACACACAAGCGAACAAGGTGTGAGAGAAATAATAACAACAACAGTTACGCCGGCACGAGCGCCCGCAGGGTGGTTCTCTCTCACTCTCTTCACCCACACACGAACACACAAACTTACACTCGCAGCGGAGAAGAAAAAGAAAACGAAATACGAAAACATGGAGCGCAGGCGGTGCCGAAAATGTAACAAGAAACTCGAAAAACCCGAAAACTCGGCGACGAATTTCGAATTTCCCGCGTCCACGTCCAGAGTTCAACTGAAATCCAATTCAATGCGAAAACCGAAATACAAATCAATTCGCCGCCGCGGCGAAGCAAACGAACGAATGCTCACGACAGCGGACGACACAAATTTGTATCTATTCGCCGCGGCGAGAGAGCGCTGGGTGGTGGAGAGGTGGCGGTCAGATGGGAAGCCAACTTTCTACTTTTGCGCGCGCGCAATTTCGCCGCGGCCGCCGATTTTCGCCGCACGACGAAAATTCCAATACGGCGAGTATGAAAACACGCACGCACGGCCGCACGCACACCAGCGCACTTGTCACGTGTACGTGTGTTTACAAAATTTCCACCAACACACACACACAACACTCATAAGCCCGCAATAAGAGTACTTTTTATTTTTTCAACAGAGTGAAATTTTCTCGTTGAATTTCTACACCTTTTTTTGTAAACTGCTCGCATACGTACTCAAAGCAATTGCGTCGCAATGGTGCTGATATTCCTCTGTGGCATTTTCCCCTCTCAGGCGCATTCCATATTGATTTGCCGTTAAATTGAAAATTTCGTTTTACAATTGCCGACAACACACCCACACACACACGCGCGCACTTCTTTTCAGCTTCTCTGCTGCTGCTTTTGCTGCTTCTTCTTCTTCCACTTCAGCTGCTGGCTCTTATCGATTTCTCGTACTATCAAGCAGAGATTTGCGCGCCCTCTCTTTCGCACTCACACTCACACTCGTTGTGGCTCCCCCTTTCGAACGAACGCGACACAAAAATTTTCTCCGTTACAAAGTGCACGGCGCGAAAAGTCTCCACAGACTGATTCTGATTAGACCTGCTGGCGCTGCCGCTGCCTCAGTTCGGTTCGGCGTCGTCGACGCCTGCGCTCAACAGTGGCACGAGAGAGCGTGCAGGAGCGAGATGGCGCAAGCCGAACGCTATTGCCATCTCGCGGCATTGCTGCCTTCGACGCCCCCTCCTGCGTCTTGATTGGCTGCCATAGCTTCGGTTATACTCGGCCTGCGACCCGACCGCACCCGAGTGCGGAAAGAGAGTGAGAGAGAGAGAGAGCGCAGAGGCAGAACTTGATTTTTGGGGTGGCTGGCGCGCGGCTCACGCACATGTGTGGGTGGCGACGGCGGCGTTCCTAATTGAATCCAACTGTCAAATGAGAGATTAACGCAACGCATCTAAGTGTATGTATGTGCGTGCATCTGTCCGACTGTCTGTATGTGCACATGTATGTATGCATGCGCCTGTATTGGCCTTGGCGCTTATAATTAACGCGAAAAATGCCCGTTTTTGGCCTGGTTGCCTTTGCCTCATCTTGTTTTTTCGTTCGACGCCGCTGGCGCATTTCATTTTGTTTCAAATTCGCGGCCAACCTGTTTTTGGCCATATGCAAAGTGCGTGCCGGTGCCAGAGCCCGCTAGCTGACATCATTTGCCGTTGACTTTGCTGCTGTCACTTGGTTTTTCCTTCGTCGTTGGAAAACAGGGGAAATCGTAGAAATAAAAAAACTGCAAACGATGTCGCCAAATTTGCATTTCAAAGGATTTCGGTCGTACACTCTAAAGAAAAGTACTGTAAACGCTGAAATTCTAACAAATATCTTGAAATCAAATAATGTTGTAATCTTCTGGCGTAACTTATCTTTATTTATATTGGTTGTTCGGTTTAAACTATAAACAAATATGTATACTGTAAACGTTTAAAAATCTGGCAAATCTGGGAAATGATAAAATTATACGAAATCCACAATTATTCAATTGACATAATATTGTATGGAAGAAATAAAATATCTTAAAATTAAGAAACACATTAATAAAGTCATTTTCACATTTTCACTTCTGTAAACATCTGATTTTAGTAAGATATGTACGATGGATAGGTCAACTTTTACTCCGAGTGTACCCAGAGTGTCCTTGAATAATTTTCCGCACGTTTCACACAAATCGTTTCAAGCTCAATTTACAAAAGACAATAAAAAAACACTCTTGTCTTAAGGGCAGCACGTTTGATCGAGTGACGAAGATAAATGATGATATCATCTGCAGGTCTATAACGCCCTCTTTTTGCACACATCCTTGAAGGACAAGATGGATGATATTCAAGTCACAACATTCTAGTTTTAATGCCAATCGAAAATTTTAGACAATCATAGTTAAGTGTTAAGTAATGAAGTGTATAATTAGATCCGTAAATGTTGTAAGAAGTTCGGTATGTTCAATCATTTACATAACATGAATTATTTTAAGAGACTTATAAACATAAAATACATTGAATTATACGGTAAATAATAAATATAGCTCCAACAAAATTCTTTACCAAGTGAGATTGGATAGCACTTTAACATATACAATTGGGATACAACATTTTTGTGACGATTTATTTTATAATAATACTAATATTATGAGATTTGCAATAATATTATAAACAGCCATCGGGCTATACTTTTGGTTCTTTATTAATTAACACCATCTAAACTAAACTTTTTGATTTCTCTCCAAGATTCCCAAACAAAACACACATAATTTTAGTTTTGATGAGGTTAATTGAAACTTAAATGTACTTCCTTTCAGAAGTGGACAATATTCGACGTCGCCTAACCCTTTATCCATAGAATCTTAACGTTTTCAAACACAACAAATAATAATGTATATGCTAAATGCATTGAAGTAAGTAGACAAAATTCATGATTACATTTTGAAGTAATATATTAACTTCCAAATAAAATATAAAATCAATTATCCAAGTTTCAACATCATTAAAAATTATTTACATGTGAAGAGATAGAGATCTATAAAATAAATCTTTAAAACTTTATGTGAAAATTGTTGAATTACTATATTTTGGATGTCAGATGTAATTCAAAATAGAGATGTGAGTCCTAAAAAATTGTTAAGGCATAATTGATACTTTCTATCTTTTAGTTACAATTTATTAAATACTTAGGGCTAAATTATAGCCATTAAATAATTTCATGGTCGATGGATATGAAAATGATCACTAAAGGTAATTGTTAAGATGTAAATGCATATATCAATTCATCGAAAAATGGCATTATAATTTAATGAAGAAAACGGTTCACAAAATAAATTATACACAAATTTTTATCTAAATAAAAAACAAATAAGTTAAGAGTGTCTTAAAGTATAATATACAAAATGGAATTTATTAAGATGGGGGTTTTTTCCTGACTTTTTAAATACCTCGGTCAGATAAAGTCCCTGTCAATATGAGAGTTAAGTTTAACACTTACCAGATTTTCCCGTTAAGTTTTCTTTTCGACAAATTTTAAGCTACTTTTTTAAAAAGAAAAGGATGTTTAAAAGTGGCTTTCATTGTGTCTGTGTTTGCGTTTTGATGCTCAATTTGCCATTTAACAGCACTTTTGTATCCTTTTTGTTTGGTTAAATTAAAGAAGCTTGGAAAAACGGTGGCTTTTTAGAAAAGTTTATCTTAAATCTTTTAATTCTTGATTTAGTTAGCTGCCTGGGACCTTAAATTGAAATGTGCCTTAAAATAGCAACTTAGTAACTTATATCTCACACCAAACCACAAATTTTTTTTTTTTTTTTTAGTGCTAGCTTTTGCATCTATATCACGTATTCACCTTCCGAAAAACGTAGAATATTGGCAAGTCGGTGGTTCATAAAAGTTGTAGACAGCTTATTCACCACAATGTCATGCTAAAACAGCATTTTCCTTTCCTTTGTTTCAGATTGGATCAATAATCTTTCATCATACTTACATCCGTAAGATTCCAATATTCCAATATTCTGTGAGAAAGCCATAAAAATAAAAAGCAATTGGCTTTTACTTTTAATTGGTGAAGAAGTCGCAGGCATCGAATGTAACATTATCGAGAAAGTGCTTATATCCATTGAGTCGGTGGTACAAGGCCATATTACCTGCATTTCAAATGTAAAGCTTAGGAAATTCTTTATAAGATTTCAAAAACTTACCTAAATATTGTTAATTAGTATTTTTAGTAGAAACATCATTGTAAGTCTGATTCACGGATCTGAAACGGCAAGTCTTGAAATCAATAAATCCCATGTCGAAAGATTCACACTTGATATTCGTAAACGCAACTAGAAATTGGACCTAAAAATATGTTATATATTTTATGGAACTTTTTACTCATCTGGTCAAGTATAAGACCATCAGGAAGGCTACCTGTAATTTTTGCTTTCCTTTCATTTTAAAGCATCGGTGGATTTCCAAAAACTAACATTTGTTTAGGGCTCCGTAGTTCATTTCAACTAAAAACTCATTAAAAACAAATAAAACCAATTATGTAAGGCCCACCGAGCATGATATGTAAAACGCAATTTATCCCTATCGAAATATAGAATACCCTTTAACTAAAATAAGTCAACAAATTATAAATTAATAATGTTATTATTGATATTTTTAATTTAAATTAAGTTTATTTTTTATATAATTTATTATTATTATTATGTATTCATATTCATAAGCCTATTTTGTTTTAGAAATTAAAATAAAATAAAATTTTATAAATCGTATTTGGGAGTGAAAGGTAGCAATGTTACGACTAAACTGTTTTTAGGGGATAAAATGTATTTTTCATTGCATTAAACATGAATGAAGAAAAAGATCATATACACTTATAATAATAGTTATTTCTGTCATTTTCTGTCATTTATTTCAACGAAAAAGGACAACAGCGGGCTGTTTAGAAATAAGATGTGCTGCAAAGACTTTTCCTTTTTAATGGGCTGTCCATTTATCGAGCCGATAAAGACTAGACAGGAAGTCGGAGCTCCTAAGGTTTGATTAAATACGATTTTCTTAGCATGAACTTGGTCTATTATTTTTACCTAATTAAATGGCAGTTAAAACCGATTATATGCTTATGATCTTAGTATCTACCAATATTATATTGATTATTAAACTAATTTAATTTAACTAATAAAGTAAACAAGTTTTCACTATGGTAAACAGTAAACCTTGGCAACAGCTTTAATGCTATTAAATCCAGGAATTTCCTCCGGAAAGGGTAAAATGTGGGTAAAATTATGATTGATTTTGACTTTTCCACCCATTAATCACTTACATTAAATGAACAATATTGATCCACGTGGGAGACAGTGACATTATAGACGATTGGCTTAAACCCATTTAGTCACCTTTACAAAGCGAAATTTACCTGAATATTTACTAAAGATATACAAAAATGTATATAAAGTATATTTGTTGGCTTGAGGAGTTTTTACTTTATAGAAAAGTATTTTTAGCTGTGTTTTAGAAGACAAAAGGGCAATATCACCATATTCATTATCTAAATGTTTACACTTTATTTTTGGGATATATGCATATATTCCTTGATTGATAAATATTACGGGCACTTTGTACATTTCCGGAATAGTGTTTACATGTCACCATTACGACAATGATAACAATAGTTTTTCCTTTATCACAAGCATTCATGGATAACCGAAAACTACATTTTATGTGCGGCTTTTCAGCTTGGCTTGGATGTAAACAAATTATGCAAGCTCCATTAAGCTCAATGATAGCTTAACACAGTTGTACTATTCAGATCGAA